GGGGGGGAAGGCAGCAGTCGGAGCGGCCGCGTTTTCATGCCTGACGACGACGACGACGACGACGACGATGATGATGACGACGATGATGACGAACGAGACAGAAAGACAGCTAGCGCCTCCCTAGAAATGAAATGCTATACCTATAATACCCTCTAATAATATTAATATAAAAACCTCCACCCTGGCCTCCATGTAAATCTGTCTGTCTCATCAGTTTCAGTCTGCAAATCTCACATTGATCTGATCTGATCTTATAGCTGCCTGCCTCCCTCCCTCTAGATTAGCTTCCGCTTAATTTATGCACCAGAACCAGCCTCCATCATTTTCATTTATTACTAGCTCTCTCTCTTGTTCTTGTTTTTCTTTTTCAAATTTGACCAGTTGTGTCAACTGTGTTTGTATTTTAGGAAAAATGTAATCCTAGTGTTTAATTAGAGTTTCTTGTTTTGCTAATTACAGATTGTAGTTTTCTAGTATAATTTTTCCTCTTCTTTCTTTTTATTTTAAGCAAATTTAAATTCTTGGATGATGGGTGGGATAAACATATTTTTAACGTATGAAAATGTATGTACATTGAACATTAATATTCAACTGTAAAAATTCAATTGTTTTTTTTTTCTTTTTCTTTTTTCACCGTTAAAATTCAAAGATCCACGGAACACAAGAGACCGATAAATGCCCGTTGAATTGTCCTTAGCCATGTCAGATGCATGACAGAAATGCTAAGTTTGTTGAACGGACACGCACAAAATTATGTGCAGATGTTGTGGTTGTGGATCCATCAACAACAACGTATATTTGATGTGGTGTTTCCCCGTTCAAAATTGCAATTAATTAGATCTAAGTCATCAAAATCAAATGCTTTTATTTCTATGTAGGTGGCAGATTTATAGGCTTTATTTAGAACCAACGGTAGGCAATTCAAATGATACAAAGCTGAACATTTAGGATTTCGCCTCACTAGTAAATTTTTGCAATGTGAGACCTTTGCTATAATTCAATGTTGGAATGAAGGGTCATAACTTGGAGAAACACTTGGTTGTTTCTAACCCTGGCCCCATGGCGCGGCCAATAATGATATGCAACGTAAAAGTGTTATTACACGTGTTGTAAAATAGTATCATCTCTATTTCATGAAAGTCTTTCTCACTACCGGCTGGTGTGAATAATAATAATTAACAAGCATAATTCAATAGAGTATAAGTTAAACCAAACTAGGTGGATTATGGTTTTCATTTTTATTTATTTGTTAGGTTTGGTATAAAAAGGAAAGGAGATTGATCGAGTAAAAGGGAACAGTACTTTTCATGGCTTCAATATACAGTTGAGGGAGGCAACATGACTCTACGAGAATGTTTATATATATATATATGTCCTCGTAACGAGCATCACAAAGCCTAAAAGCCTGCCCTCCCTTTCTTTTCAAAACACATCACTTTCGCTGCAATAGGCCATCTTTTTTTGCCTTGAGTTTTTCTCTGGCTCGGTTATCTTATCTGCATAAAATAAAATTACCACAGATATTCATAGACATAAATATAGAAAGAGAGAGAGAGAGAGGGGCTTTGCTTCTCTTCTTCCTCTTCATCCTCCTCCTCAGTTGTTGACAGGTAAGAATCCGATGCCACGTGGGAAAGTGCTGGAGATGAGGTGGCAGTAGAGCCTTTGACCTTGATCCGTACCAGCAGCAGGAGCTGCGCTTGTAGGGTTGCAATTGCAGAGTGGCAGGTCACTTTAAATTTCTCACCCCTCCACGTCATCAGATATACCGAATGAAAAGCCTTGTTGTCCATGTCCCCATTCCCACTCAGGGCTATGTGCTACAATGCCAGAGCCAGTGAGAGCCACACCCATCGGACCATTAGTTTTGACACTCTAGAGAGAGAGAGAGAGAGAGAGAGAGCATGTTTGTCCTCCACTATATATCCTTTGATTTGAACAGTTCACAGTTGAACAGTGGTCTCCACTTTGTGCACAGAGTATATATATATATATATATATAGCTAGGAGATGGGAGAAAGAGTGACCGCCCATTTAATGCTGCTGCCCATGTCCTGTTGTTGTTGTTGTGGGCCTCCTTCCTCCTCTTCCTGTTTGTCAGGCTCAGGCTTTGCCCGTCTCTTTATGCTTTTTCACTGATGCTCTGGGGATTTGACACATGGACCACCTGATGCCCCCCACGTAGTACCATCTCTGGGTGCCATATGTGGTGTTGTGTTGTGTGTGCGCATCTCTCGCTGTCTTTGCCCCAACTTATTTACCTCGTATTGTTTTGTGCTGTGTATAAACTCTGCGTTTTGACCAATTCATGCATATGATATGCATGCATGCAAGACAAACTTTCACAACACACAACAAAAAACTATAAACCTAAAACTCTCATTAGGAGAGACTACGAACCCGTACAAGTTACAACAAAATCATATTGAAGTGCTACAACTTAATTCGAATTAAAAACTTATTTACTTATTTGGATATTCAAATATCAACAAACACAATCTAAGATGGCAAAGTGTGAGATACGTTGATTGTACAAAGTTGGTTGAGATTTGAGACAAACGAGAATCATATAGAGGAAGAGCTCGCCGAGACGGGGAGGATTACGTGAGTTGGACCGAAATCAACAAAGAATCAATGGAAATTCCTGTCACCGGCCGGACCTTGGTGAGTAAAAGAGAGAGGCCTTTGTGAGAGGGGTAATCATGTTGCCGTCCTCGTAACAGCAATTCTTTAGGTTCTTTCGTATTATAATTGTAATAATGAGAGAATGTAAGCATAGAATTACAGGTCTTCATCACAGTTAAAGGCCGACAAAGATCCAGTTGAAGCACACAAAATTTATAATTAACAGCAAAAGTAGTGAGCCTGGACCTAGAGCTACAAGTTACAACTACAAAAGGTCCTCTGTCCTTTCCCAAGTATATATGATTTGCGGCAACCGATAAATTTGTATATTTTGTAGTAATTGTTTAGGGATTATGTTGACCGGGAACAGGGAAATGCCGGTAGCAGAGATGGTCAAAGATTTGGCAGCCCACCATGGTCCAATGGAAACTGTGGCATGCGTGCGGCCCTGTGAGTCTTTTTGAGCTGATCAAGGCCACAGGGTTGGCCTCTTCAACACCTATCTTCTTAATTTAATCGAATCTGTTTTGGAACCCAATAAACTTATTTTTTGTTTCCTTAATTTATAAGATTAACACACTTGATACGATGCACAACTTCAGAAAAACACTTGTACGGCCGTTTGCATTTTCTAGGATCTAGGACGATGACTGTCTTTATATAAGCTTAAACTGATTTTTTTTATTTTATCACATGGTAATTAAGATTTGCATTTAAATCCTTAATTTACCATAAATTAGTGAGCATTTGTTTAGTGGTATTTGTTTTGTCATGTTCGACTCATATGGATAGCTAAAACGACTTGTGATGAGTTTCAATACATAATTAGGTGTGTCTAGTTTTATTGTGGCGGTATAGATTTGCCGACCAGTAGAGTCATTTTAGGTAAGTTGGAAGAGTGGACCTAATTTGTTGCAGCAGTTGTCCTTTATGGATGGATTGGATCAAAGAATACTTGCTACATGATTTTGAACTCAACAAAAACATGAACGGGCTAAATTAGCTAGTTGGGCCTATACAAATAAATAAATAAAATTCAGAGCGAAGCCTGTGTGCTAGTTCTTTGATCACATAATCATGTGCACGTTCATCAAACTCTCAACCTTTTATTTCATATTTCAGCACCAAACAAACATTTATTTTCATCCAAAACGAAAGCGTAAATTCAGTACACCACACACTGTATATATAAGCACCTAAGATTCATATGCCTCTTTTAGGACAAGGCTTGATCACTGATAACTAAATTGGCAAACGAAATCTACTAAACTATACTATATCATGCGTATCAGCAGTACATAGCATAGAGCTTTAGAGTTCATCCTTGAAGGAGGAGGAGCTTCTTCTTTTTGTGTTGCTTGGGGAAGACTTCATGGGGTAAGAGGGATCTTTTGCAATTCCACACAGCCCTTGTTCTGCATCAACTCCACGTTGGATCCTTATGTATCCCTTCTCTCCCCACTCTTCTCCCCAAGAGTTCTTCACAATCCAGTACTTGGTCCCATCCAGAGTTGCTCCATACCCCACAACTGCCACGCCATGGTTTAGCTCTGTTCCACAGTCCCCATTAAACACACCCTGCAAAATTAATTAACCCATGATTTAGCTCTCATCCTTGTGTTTAGTTAACTAATTTGAAAGCAGTTGTATTTTTATACCTCTGAGTAAAATTGGAAGTCTCTGCCACCAGCATCTATTGCAACAGATACAGGTTGGTTTGCAACAGCTTTCATCAAGGCATTTTCATTGTTTTCGGGTACGTTTTCGTAGCCATCAATTTGCACCAGAGGAGCATTCATCATCTGCAAGAACCAAAACAAAGCATGCCCATTTTTTTTTCACATGCATGAAGGAACATTATATTTTATTGATGTGGGGTAATTAGTTGGTTCTTTCTTCACCTTGGTTGAGTCACAAGGCCCATCACTGGCTCTGTAAGGGTAGTTCTGCTCTGTTGTTATGCCGCCATTTTTCTTTATGAAATCAAATGCCTTTTCCATCAAGCCACCGTCGCACCCTTCGTTGGGGTCTCTATTGCAGTCAACCAGCTCTTGCTCAGACAGAGAGACCAGGGCCTTGGTTTTGATTTGATTGATACCCTCCACTGCAACTACAGTTGAAAATGCCCAGCAGCTACCTGTAACATCAACAACGTGCAGTAAATTTTAATCATCTCTTGATTTTGATCAACATGAAAGTTGTAACATTTATTCATGAAATGGACTGCATATTTTCCCCATCAACTAGCAATCGTAACACAAAATTTGCATAAACTTCCAAAATATTTCAATGAAAATTGTCACATGAAAATCTTTGGTCATGTACGTATATCTGAGACTTACCGCATTTGCCTTGGTCTTTAACTTCAGTGACTGCTCCATTCTTCCTCCAATCAACATTTGGTGGAAGATTGTCAGTGTTCTCATGTGTAAAGGCAGTTTCCCTTCGGCTGCCATGCAAAGACCTGTAGTGGCTAACTTTTGAGCCAGCATAGGAACTCACAAACTCATGGTTGGTCATGCCTGCAAACTTGTTCAGCTTCAGCTTGTAAGGCTTGCTCATCTGGTTCACCTTGTGCACATGCTTCACATTCTCCTTGAAGACATTGAAGCGCTTTTCCTTCTCTCTGAGGCCATGGGAAATTGTATGGTGGCTCCTCCACCTCTCATACAAGTCCCAGAGACTCTCTTCAGAGGCCAGGTCCTTCTCCTGAAACTCAAAGCTCTCAGCCAGGCCAATAACAAGAGCCAAAAACAGAGCAACCAAGATGATCTTCCTCATGTCAATCAATCACTCTAACAAAGATTTCCTAATTTGAATCAAGAAATGTTGGAGTTTAAGGAAAATGGGTTTTGAGAATTATGGGAGATGAAGCTGTTTGATTACTTTGATCAATGCAAAGCATACCCTTTATAGACAATTTTGGTTGGTAGGGATTGATTGGCACTAGAGCTCTACATGAAGAGTGTACGTAGCTTGCCATATTGGGCGAGGTCTCAACTTTATAGCTTTAGACATAAAATCTGGGGAAAAGATGACATTCTTGTTAGAAGTTGTATATATTTTTGGAGGTGGGGTTTGTATTTTGTTGGTTTATATCTACAGCCTACATGCCATCCACGTTACCTTGTTTAACTTGTTTATATATGGTGACACATGGGTTATGTTGTGGCACGATTTCTTGCAAGCCTATGGACTTTCCTGTCTTTGTTCAAAACCGAAAACTTTTCCAAAGGTTGGCTACTTGGGAGTAAAACTTGCGTGATTCTTTATCTTCTGCACTTTGTCGATTTTCTTTTTTGGTGTATCAGAAGATTTTTATGTCTAATACCTAATTTTTCTATTATTATTTTGGGCAGCTACTCAAAGATCGATCTAGACTTGTACTTGTCTGTGTGTAGTGTTTGATATTTGATAATATAATGAGATGGAACCATAGTATGAAATATTGATATTATTGCGATAATGTCGGAGACGATAATTTCCTACATGCTCATGCATTATTTGGACAACATATCGTGATGAGACCGAAAAATAAATGAAAATGTTGAGAAATCACGCTCTTGCGCACATAAGGATTCAAACCCCTCCATTTCCCAACCACCTTTTGAGCCTTATCCAACCCACTGCGGATAAGTTTGTGAACATATCTACGGCGTGTAATATTTGAGTAATGCTACACTTAACACATTTTTATCCTACATTTTTATACCACATGATGTGGCATGTCCATATTATATGCCACATCAATTAAATCAATGAAGTGTATTTTAATTAAGACAATTAGAAAAACAAATACCGGAATAAATCATAAAAGAAAAGAAAATATTAAATAGTTTTAATTGATGTGGCTATCCATCCCAACTGCCACATAAGATGGTATACAAATGTGGTAAGAGTAACATTATTCGTAATATTTATAAGGTTTAAAATGTCTACAAGCTAATATTATCTAGGATAAATTTCCATATAAAAAAAATTCTCTAAGGATAAATTTAGGCATATGTTTAATGTTATTTAATATTTTTTTTTGGGGTTTTTTTTTTTTTTTTTTTTGGGTTATATATTATGGAGTTGTATTATTATCAGTATTGAGTTTTAATATTGTACATTATACGTGATACTAAGTTTGAACTTTAATAGGAATCCTTTCTATGTGGTACTAAGTTACTCATACATTTTATCTTTGTTTTTTTTGTCAAGCTCATATATCTTATCATATAAGTGTAATACATTGTAGTAAATTATTATAACTAAAAATTTATGGTGTGTTTAATTTTCTTTCACTAATTACTACATATTTTCTAAAGTTACAGTGTTTGTCAAGTTTCTACATAATCAACTTAAATCACTCAAACCCACCATACCATATATTTCTTTCCAGTTTTTTGTGATAAAATAATAGACAATTGATTAAGTAAACATCCTCTAAAATTTCAATAAAAATTTTCAAGTTTTTCTCACAATTTTCGTGATTATTATTCAATTTTTATTGATATCAATATTTCCTCACTATTTCCATCGATATATCCGTGTTTTTGGACCACTGATATTTCCGAAACTCTCGATATTTTAGACCTTAGATGGAACAAACATTTTAAGGTTATCTGATTATACAATACTTATAAAGTGGAACCATATCTCCAAAAAAGAGAGAGGTTAAAGTGGAACTTATTGTTAGCAAATAATCTATTATTAGGGATGTTTATAAGCAAAGATTACGCATATAATTTGCGATTTAGATTGACAAATTTTTGGGTAAAAAATTTAGAAGATTAATAATTTAACTCAATAATATGGTAGACTATTTGATGAAAGAACATTTGTTTTGGACATATTGAGACCTTGACTTGCATTTGAGTGGTCTCAGATTCGAATCTTCATGACACATTAGTAGTGCGTATGTGAGAGAAACCACCCTCCCATTTGCTTATAATTTTAAAAAATGAAAATAAGATGCATCTACACATGAAAATACGATGAAAAATGAAATCCAAATCCACTAATTTTCTTTTTCCATCATATTATTCTGATTGTTTTAATGTGTAGGATGTGTACGCTAGAAAATTGTTGTGGATGATTTGACTAGCCACCTTAGATTGAGTGAAAAATGAGAGCACTGTAAGTTTCGCAGGCCAGCCAGGAATTTCCCATCATTATAGTAGTGTAACCTATAATGAATGTAGATCAAATTTCGGATGTTTGGCTGTGCCTGCCTATGTTATTAGTAATGGTTGGTAAATTTTTAACATTTGGTTTGCCAACAAGAAGAAAAGTAAGCGACAGAACAGCACAACATCTCCAAGGAAACTCACTTAAACGCAACCCCTTGTTTCTGGCTACCTTTTAACATATGCCATGTACAGTTATTAAGGGACAATAATTTGCCCTTCTCTTTGACTTGTCAAAACAGTTGTTCCCTAAAAAAAAAAAAAAAATTAAGCTGATATAAAC